TCGTAGAGCCCTGAGCATTAGGGCCTGGGTTCAATCCACAGCACCAACATGAAAACAAAAAGGTTTAAAAATGGACATATTAAGACAAAGATTTGAAGACTGATAAATCAAAAAAGGTGATGAGTTTGTAAATGGGGAGGGGGGGAGGGAGTGAAGGGAGGGCAGGGATAGGGGGAAAAAATGAGAACCAGGACGTGTCATGTAAAAGTACAAGGTCCCAATAATGAGTGTAACTGTACTGTATACCTAAAATGAACCAATAAACTCAATGAGAAAAATAAAAGGTGATGATACCATTCAATGCAGATTTTTTTTAATTATGAGATTTTTAGTAGTCTTAGGAACTTCTGATTCCTCATTTAAAATGTTTTTTTCATTAAGTTTATTGGTATACTTAAGGTATACAATATGATGACATTCATATTGGGAATTTGTATCTTTATATGATATATATTGGTTCATGGTTTTTCCCCATTCCCCTGCCCTCCCTTCATCCCCTTCACCTCTCCCTATTTATAAAGACATTGTTTCCATTTTTTCTTTTCTCATATTTATTCCTTTCCCCTTTCTTTTCTCCTACCCTTCCTACCTCACCTTTGCCTTTAAACCTTTGCTTCCTATGTGACATTATTATATATTTTGATCCCCATTTACACTTTCAGTTTCTCACACGAGAAAGTATTCATTATTTACACATGTACATCCTATTTATTTCACTTGAATCTGGCCTCAGTGTGCATCCATTTAGCTATAAATATCTCTAGTTTCCATTCTTTATGGCTAAGTAGTACTCCATTTTATTTAAAAAAAAAACCACATTTTCTTTATCCATCTCCAGTTGATGGGCAATGGGGCTGTTCCCAAGTTTTAGCTATTACAAACTGCATCACTATTAAAATGTTAATAATATACAAATTCCGTTACATAGCTATCAAATTCTATGCTAGAAACTGAAATATAATGAAAATTGTCCTCAATTCAGTTAAGTTAAATATTTACTTTTCAATTATTTCATTTGTTTGTTGTATGTTATTAGTATCTCATTACTGTCTCATTTTGTCTGGGCTTATTGCTCACCACCTCTTCTCTGCAGTATATTAGCTCATTAAAACACAGATACATTTTTTGGGGGGGTACCAGGGATGGAACTAGGGACCCTGCACTTGCCAGGCAGGCAATGGAACCACTGAGCCAAATCCTTGGGCCCACAGATACATTTTCTTATGCTGCTATTTTTAAATTCTGCAACAAGGTCTTGCCAGAAAGACATACCCAACAGATATTATTATTAATTTCCTTCTCCTATATTTCAGTATTACTAGATTTATTTCTCTGTAAATGTTACTGAGGATGAAATCCTTTCACATGTTAATTCTTTGATAGAATTTCTGTACAAGTTTTCAAATACACAATTAAAGATATTAAACAGTAAAACATGATCATATAGAAAAACATACCTGAAAACTATATTCTCATCCTGAATATAGTAAGGAATTGGACTATGTAAAAATTATTTTTATAGATTTGGTGAAAGGCTGAAAACAGCTGAATTCCAGATAGCCTAAAATGCAAATTACCTCTGAACACAGTGAGGGGTTCCCTAGAACACAGACTGTACGATCCTGGGCAAACTAGGCCTATTGATAGGTAGCAAAATACAGGGAGTTGGTAGAGAAAAAGAGAAAAGCATAATAAGTAGGACAATTTCTGCTCCCAAGCAATAATGTAAGTCTTCTATTCCAAAGGATCTTTTGAATGAAAGACAAGTAAATCAATTGGAACAAAATAAAATACCGTGTAACTCTGGCCAGGTTGACTGCTAATCTAGAACATGCTTGTCTGCTGACCCAAAATGGAAAAGGCTTCTGTACTTCTGTGGCTGTTTACTAATGAGATTGCCAATTCAGCTTCATGTGCACTCAAAGAAATTCAAGAGATGGAGAAATGAACAGAATGCTACTGACTCAGAAGATACATGGCCATCTGGTCCCTGTTTCAGTTCTATTTCTTAACTGGACCTCCTCTTCCTTGGAAAAGTACAACTAATGTAGATAAATCTTCTAATCAGACTTGAGAAGGATGCCAAAATATACTTAAAAAATAAAATAGGACAAGAGCAAAAGTGTATGCAGGAGCATTTAGACATTATTAGAAATATAAGCCCATTTTATCAAAAGATGGTTTTTATCCAGAGAAACAAAATGTGCCTTATTCTCAAGACAGGACTAAAATAATCAACTGAGTACATGTAAGCAAAGTCCCTAGAAATGACACCAAGCTGTGTGTTTGTTAAAACTGTAATAGTTCTCCAAAACAAAAGGTGTCTAAAGGGACCCAGAAGCATTAGGAATCCCTGAAAACTAGAAGATAGGTAACAGATGAAGTAAGAAACCAAACCCAAGGGAATGTGGGTCATTCTGCTGAAAAAATGGACTGTGAGGAGTCTCAAATGCTCAGGGCGGGATGTAGCAAAGCACAACACACCCCATGGCAACTACCAGGCTGGCTGGGTGGCTGTACATGGCTCCCTGATTACCATTACCACCACTATGCAATATGTGGTGAGCACAGACCCTAGACTGCAAGAGTGATTTGGCAGCTTGCACTGGAAAGGCTAAGCAGTGTCCCAAAAGACAGGCAATGGTTCATAAGTATATGGAGCCCCTGGCCAAGAGGCTAAAAAACTCCCTGTCACCATTCAGAAGATGGTGACCCTTTCCTGGAGGAAATAGACCGTTTTCAGAAAAACTTCTTTTTTTTTTTTACTTCAAAGTTGCAATTGATTACTTATTTTTAAAATAATCTGTAATCTTACCTTAGTTTACTCAGTAATAACAGAAGGTAAAGTAAACTTTAAACAATGGGGTTGTATAGAATTATAGAATATTCATTGAGATTTATGTGCATAAAAATTTGATTCAACAGATAGGTCAACCAGGTTTTAGGGAAGAATTTGTCTTTGAGTATAAAGTTTCTAGGAACACATGAGAATATTTTACTATCAAATTCCAAATGTGCCTAAGTGAATCCTACCAATTCTGCTCAGTAGGTTTCCATGTAGGTTCAAAATGCCCATCACATATGAAAAGAAAAGAACTAAACTTGTATTAGAGAGATCCACAAGGGTTCCACATCCTACAGTTACACCCTTCTCTGCCCTTCCAGCATCTCCCTGGTTCCTCTTACACGGCACTGCCCCTGCCTGCCTAGTGGCATTCTCCCAGTGAGTCAACGGTACCAAAGCTCTCACACCCCAAACACTCAGAAGGCGCATTCCCATGGTCCCACTGGCTCTCTAAAGAGGGCTTGGAAGCTTCTGATGTGAGAACTTTCCACCCCCTCTCAGTTTGCTCATGATTTTTACAATTCCAAATTCCATCCTCTGCTCCTGCTAACCTTTGAGAGAGCCAGGTTTCTTCCTTTTTCCAATGTTTCCCAAGTTTCCTTCTTTTCTTTCTTAGTACACACCCACTTCCAACTTCTTTACCTCATTCATCACTGTTTTTCTCTCTGAAGAACAGGAATGATAGAGTACCTCTATTCTTTTCCAATATACTCTAACTTCTGAGCTTGTTCCCCTGACATCTTCTAATCTCCACTCCTTCAGAAGCTGAGCTTACCCAAACAGGTGGTATTCATCTCTGCTTCCAGAAGTTTCTCTTGGGTAGTCTGTCCTCTTCTGTCCTACATTAAATTGCTTTGGACAGCTTGGCTATTGAATTTGAAATCTCTGAAGTGGGAGGTGCGGAGAAAACAGTGCATGTGTACTGCAGAGCGTGGAGCTTGCACTCAGATTTACAGAAGACATGCTTGATAAAAGATGGACCATAGGGCAGCCACGACAAAATGTGTTGGCTCTTCTTAAAGATTTTAAAACGGAATACTACTCAGCCATAAAGAATGAGAAACTAGAGTCATTCATAGAAAAACAGATACATATTGAGGATATACTCGTAAGTGAAATAAATAAGTCACACACGTGTAAATACTGAATAGTCTCTCTGGTGTGAAAAACTATAATAGTACACAAGATCCTAATGGGATAATTGACAATGTGAAATAGGAAGAAAAGGGATAAAGGTGTAGGGAAAGTGGGAAGGGTAGGGGAAAGGGAACAAGGGAAAAGAAAAAAAATATGAGAAAATGAAAAAATGGAAATAAAGTGTTTGTAAATGGGGAAGAGAGGAGGGGGTGAAGGGAGGGCAGGGACAAGGGGAAAAAATGAGAACCAAGACCTGTCATGTGAAGGTACAGGATCCCAGTAATGAATGTAACTGTATTGTATACCTGGATTGTACCAATAGACTCAATGAAAAAAGAAAGATTTAATATAGGAAATTCATTGAATAAAGGCAAGAAAACTATGGTTCAGAGTGAGTAATGGACATTTTTCAATCAAAGAATGTTTTAGATTCTTTTCATAGTACAGAGCTTTCACACACAAAACTTTGTAAACAAATCACACAACTTTAGTCTCTCTAGCACTTGAATGTTGTTATTTCTCAAAAGAGGCAGGTATTTAGCAAAGAATAAACATTTAAACTTTTTTCCTTCTTTCTTAACTTTATTTTCATGAATCTACCATTACACATACCACATACACACACACACACACACACACACACACACACACACACACACAGACTGTTTCTCCAAATAGTCATTTCAGTATTGATGTAGATGCTTTCACATAAATAAAATAAGGGCAATAGGGCAGATGGTCAGCACTCTGAGCATCCACTTCTCTCTATTTTACAGATGGAAATTTTACAGAACTCACCTTTCTCCTATAATATCAATTGAAAACGGCTGTACAATTTTTGGTAGGTTTAATACAAAGGCAACTCTGCATTTCATGGAATCATCTGCTGCTCTAATAAACACTTTGACCAAAAAATACATTTAAACTGAATTTTAAGAACATCTCTTACCAATATAGTATCAGCACAGAAGGTGGCAAACAGCCCAGGCCCAGAAAGTCAAGATTCAGTTACCTCCTAGCAAAAGATCAAGATGTTCCAGGCAGCTTGATAGCACTATTGAAGTGATCTGCTTCTTCAGCATCTTAAAGACATGGTCCAGGAATAGTGGCAAATCTCTGCTCCCGGGGAAGCTGAGGAATGAGGATCACAGGTTTGAGGCCAGTGTGGGCAAATTAGGAAATTACTATCTTAAAATAAAATTGAAAATAAAAAGGGTGAGTTTGTAGGTCTGTGGTAGAGTCCTCGCCTAGCATGAAAACCTGGGTTCATTCTCCAGCATCAGGAAAAAAAAAAGATATGAACTTCATCAAAAGAAATAAACTTTAACCTACAAAAAAATTTACTTCAAAATATAACTTCCCCCATGAGAGAAGTGAGACCACTTGAACCTTCACCAAAAGTGTCTCAAGTAAAGCAAAAATATATTGATTGTAGTTGCATATCTATTTAATAAACTTAGTCAACCGATGATACCAAAGTACACCAACTTCAGACATAAGAAATACAGATTAAAAATAGACTTTGAAAATAGCGTGTTGTAAATGAGTTTGTTGAATCTTTTGGGCAAGATCAAGCTGGAAGGAACTTCATTTTCTTGATATCAACTTTGACCATTTGACATATATTTCTTTAGTATCTAGTACTAGTACAAACACAAGGTACAAACATAACCCTAGAACTCTGATTTGTTCCCTGGGCCTTCCCCAGAACCCAGAATAGAACTAAGCGCCTGGTAGATGCTCCATATATCTGTTAAATAAAGGAAACCATAAAACTGAAATGTATTTTCTATTTAACCAAAACCAGTTTCTCTTTTGAAACAAAAATTCTTACTTAGAATATTTTTATAAATGTAGGACATATACAGATCATTTAAAGCAATGTCATATCCACCATGTCAAAAATAAAATTTTTGAAACCTTAGGTAAAAGAGCAATTCAAGCAAAGTTCATAAATTTTGGTGCTACATAAACCAGGATGAGTAATTATAAATCTAGACAAATTAAACAATCTTCACACTCCCAATATCTAGGCAATACTGCTTACAGAGTGTACGTTGTATTTTAAAAAGAGTTGATGAAGGGCTGGGGATTTAGCTCAGTGGTTTGGTGGCCTCCCTTGCAAGCGCAAGGACTGGAGTTAGTCCCGGTACCAAAAAAAAAAAAAAAAAAAAAAAAAAAGAGTTACTGAGGAAGGCAAATTTTTGTAAAATGAGAAAAGTTCTTGATAAGCTTTTCCCACTACTTTCTTTTGTAGTAGTCTCCTTCCCCCACTACTCCTTTTAGAATGGTTTCTTTTTCTACTACTTTCTTTTGTAACACTAATTTAACAAAATATAATACAATTGAATGGTTTGAATGTTCATGGCCCTCTAAAATTCACACTGATATTAATCACCAGTGTAATACTATTAAGAGGTAGAATCTTATTTTTTCCTATTCCCCTGCCCTCCCTTCAATCCCTCCACTCCTTGAATGTCTTCCTACTATATACCTAAAATGTACCAATCCACTTAATCAATAATTTTTCAAAAAGAGGTAGAATCTTTTAGAGTTGAATAATGGAATTTGTGCCCTTTAGGAAATGGATGGAATAGATCTTGTGAATTCTATTTGCCTTTCTATCACTGAGGTCGCAGGAAGAAAACTATCTATAAAACAAAATGAAATTTCAGCAGATATTGAATCTATAGTTTCCTTTCTCTTGTATTTTCCAGCCTCCAAAATTGCATAAATTAATTCCCTTTTTTTCACAAAATTCTCTTTTTTCTGTTCATCCATCCATCTATACATCCTGTTAGCCACCTTCTCTGGAGAACTCTGACTGTGACAATATTAAGTCTTTACTTACATATCTAGTAAGATGTTCAAAAAGAGAAGATTTTTTCATTGACTAAGCTCTTTTCCACATAATATTTTTGCAGAAATGAGATTTTAGCAATGTTTTCTAAAAATAAATATCTTTACGAAATCTAAGCTTGGTGTGGTTGTTTATAATAATAAAAAAATTCCTCATCAAGTCGTAAAGCATATGGCAGTGACTCAAAATTTTCTTCTAAATTACTCATCATTACACCATCCAACAGAAGAACTTGGATACTGTTTTTCTTAATTCCATATTCTAACACTAAGAATATCCTATAATCTCCTGAACTCTGCCCACACCCAAAACACACACACAAACCTCTCTACGAGAGAAAGGTGATGGTCGGGAGGACACTGCATGTAGGAGGAAAACAAAGGGAAGAGAACAAAGGATAAACCAACTCCATCTGAACTCTGTGACTGTGAACTCGCAATACAAATGTTAGGTACTCCATAAAAATGAAGACTCTACTGGTTTTTACTCCCCGAAACACTCTTGAAAGATTCCAGAGCAATGATGGCAAACCCTTTAGAGCTTTCACTGATACAAACAGCCACCTGCAGAACACGTGTCATATGTTTGTCACCTTCATCCCACAGGATCAGGAGATAACCGAGGGTGGTGGAAACCTACCCATACTGAGATTACATTAAGAATTTCTGTTAGAACCCAGAGTAAATTTCCATTTTTTTTGCATGTTTTCCATTTAGAATCCACATCCAGTGCTTTATTATAAGGACATTCCTGGGTACCCGAAAAATACTTCTGTGCATTCAAACCTACATGGACTATTCCTTTGTTGTTTTTCTTGACTTCTTAGCAGACTTTCCCCAGTTAGCTGTCTGTCCTCCTTATGCACTCTCTTCCTTTGAACTCTACGGCATCACTCCCAGCTGATTTTCTCCTTCTGTTTTATCTTCTCCAACTGCTTCTTCTCTAACTCTTTTTTTCATTAAGTTTATTAGTAAATTTTAGGGAAACAATACAGTTACATTCATCATTAGGAACTTGTACCTTTCCATGAGATATCTTGGCACTTATTTTTTTCTCCATTCCCCTGCCCTCCCTTCAACCCCTCTACCCTTTCCTATTTACAAAGACTTTCCTTTTTTTTTTTCCTTTTCTCATATTTTTAAATACTGAAATTCTTACTCATTTTCCCTATACCCTCTTCACATTCTCTTTTGGGTTTTGTTTTGATTGTTTATTTGTTTGTAGTATTGGGGGAATGAACTCGGGGTCTTTGCGCTAAGCTACATCCTCATCCCTTTTTACTTTTTATTTTGACTCAGTTCTCACTACACTAAGTCGCCCAGAGTGCGCTCAAGCTTGCCATCTTTCTTCCTCAGTTTTCCAGAGTACCAAGATTACAGGTGTGCACCACCTTTTCTGGCTCACATCCTATACTATTTTTTAAGTAAACTCAATGGTCACACAGTTTCCATACAATCCAATGAAACTGATTTTGCTATGCCTGGCTCAGACCGCTCCTTTGAACATCAGCTCTAGTATATCCAACTACATAACTAATATCCCAGGAAGATTTCTCAGAGGCCCCTGATTTTACACAAGCAAATTCTAACTCATGCTACTTTTTCAAAAATAGCTTTTGTCTTCATTGTGTTACTCACAATGCAGTCTCCAAGCATCCAGATTTCTGGTTATTGGTCAAACAAATATAGGCTCCATATATATATATATATCTGAGACATTTATTAACTCAAGTAGTCTCTTAACAGATCAGCCCCAGAATTACTGCTATTTAGAGGAATGAATCAAGAATCACCATTCCAGTGTGCTGTTCCCTAGTGTCTCAGTCACTTTCCTCATTGCTAGCACAAGTAACTGGCACACATGACTTCCAGGAGGAGAGGTTTATTTTGGTTCACGGTTACAGTGCATGTCCAGCTGGCTCCATATGGAAGGATCCATGTGACAGAAGGCTGGATTTGGGGGTCACGGCTACTCACACCATGATACTAAGAAATCAAAGAATGAAGGTCCTAGATGGGAGGGAGATGCACTCTTCAGGTCACATCCTCATGACCCACCTTCTCCAAAACGTCTTCTCTGTCCCAAAAGCAAGTCAGCTACATCACCCCATGATTCAGTCACATCCTTAGATCCCTGCCGAGGAGCATGGGGCCTTTGGGGAACACTCTCTGTCTAAACCAAAACACCTCAATTCCTTCTTATTTCTCAATCTGCACTTCACCATCTACATTTTTCTCTGTCATATCTGTTCTTATAAGCAAAACTTTGTTTTATAACTGTAGCATCTGATTTCTGGTCTTCTATGTGAATGGTTCTTAAATATTTTATCTATAAAATATTTACTAGCTATTGAGTATAAATCCATATCACTAATTTTGGGTAAATGTTAATTATCATGATTTTTAGTTACAAAATAAAGCATACATTAAACTGCGTGTTTCTCTAATTATTGTCCATGATAGGGATAATATTATTTCTTATATTTCACCAACATCTCTGAATGATGCTAGTGGTAAATAAAATTAACTATAATGTAGATATACGTCTGTGTTGATTTATTTTGTTACTCTTAAAGGTCAGCAAAAATGGCAGAAAATTTAGATAGTTCTAGCTAAAATGTTAAACATTCACCCCCCCAAAAAATGTGAAAAAATTTCACATCAAAGGCTATTTTCAGACTCCATCAGAATAGACTTTGGTAACTGCATCACTTTAAAATGTTTTAATTCAGGAGTTACAAGAAATAGACTTTCCATTCACCATATTACATTTGGCCCAAGAAAGTTTAGCAGCACATAAGTATCGGTATAAAATAAACCATGATTATCAATGCTTTTTATTTCAAGTGAATAAAATCATAAATATTGGGCAAGAATCAAACTCACAGTTTGAGCCATTTACTCCACAATTTTCAGAGTTTAAATCCTGATATACTTTAATCAACAAAGTAAAGTCTTGACAGCTTAGTTTCTAAGCAGTAAATTTAGCCTTTTCAAAATTCAAACATATCCCTAAGATTCATCATTTATATAAATCACTGAAGTTATTGACATAATGAATGCCTAGAAGAAATATTGTATATCATTGGAAAACCTGGGGAAAGTTTATTTTCCAAAGACAGCCAGAGTACTACAGAGAAAGCCAAGACTTAGAAGTTTTGTCTGTTCTGAAAACACAGTGAACAGAAGTGTAAGAATGGATGGTATTTTGTGGGAATGAAGGAAGAGAAACTGTTTCTAATCAAGTGTGTAGTGTTAATAAAGCATTTTGA